AGATCTTAAGCTGAAAATCTATTTTTTTAACCTTTTAATGTATTTGTATAGTGCTAGACCATTGGATGTGGATATTGGATACTCTATGACTGTTTATTATAATTACAGATTTATCTAAGTGGATTCCTTCCAAAGCTTGATGCAGACCACTCTTCCACAAGTCTTTCAACTCCAGAGAGGAGTTTCGTCTTTATAAATAGTCGACCTGCCCATCAGAAAGATATATTAAAGGTAATCACTTTTAGAAAAAAGTATCACTTTGGTCAGAAATTTAAAACCAGCTCTGACATTTGTTAGAGTGTTACAAGAATGACTACTAGAATTTGCTCTAAAATAAGGAAAAGAAGGCAATAAACAGATAATCACTTGTTAAGCATTGTACTGGGTATTATTTACATATTATGTTTTGTTTTCTCTGTACAACAGCGCTGATGCATAATTATCCCCATTTGTACTGAGGAAACAAATGTTAAATGACTTACTTAAGGAAAGTAGCCAGAAAGTAGCAATTTTGATTAGAACTCTAGGCCTTCAGAACTTCTATGTCGCTATGATTTTTAGCCTTGAAGCCAGCTGCGCTGGATGCCTGTGTTTCTTAGGATGCTTGTGCTCTGTGTGGGTTCGGGGCCTCCACAGGACTGTCACGACTGCTTACATGCTGGTTTTCCCACTGGGTGGTTGCAACTGCTCAGTGTTTCAGTTGGATCTGCTCCTTTAGATGGTATTTTAAGGTTGGCAGTACTGTATTTAAATGGTACTTTTGTGTTTTATTCACTACATGTATTTCTAGTTAATCCGACATTATTACAATCCAAAGTGCCTAAAGGAATCTACTCGTTTGTATCCCATCTTTTTTCTGAAAATTGATGTACCTACAACTGATGTGGATGTAAATCTAACACCAGATAAAAGTCAAGTATTATTACAGAATAAGGTAATGTTTTCCAGATAATTTTTGTATTAATTTATGCTATATAAATGTATGCAGGCTGTTTTTATATAAAAGACTTGTTTATTTATATTTTTCTTTTTTATTCATTTTAATTTTATCCGTTAATTTGTATTTTTTAGGAATCTGTTTTAATTGCTCTTGAAAATCTGATGACAACTTGTTATGGACCACTACCTAGTACAAATTGTTATGAAAATAATAAAACAGATGTTTCCTCAACTGAC